TGTCAATAAAGTCGATGATGTTTTTAAGAGAGCACCCGAACCTTTTTTCCTGCAAATGGAGGCGCAGTTCAGGAATGCGGAAATAACGAGAGATGATACAAAGTTCGACCATGTAGTAGCAGGTTTAGAGCCGAAATATCTGGAGTGCATAGCTGATGTGATCCATCGAAGGTATCCACCGAAGGTGTTGAAATATGAGATGTTGAAGAAACGGTTAATAAATTAATTCACAGAATCGGAGCACAAAAGACTGCGTAATTTGTTGACAGAATTGAAGCTAGACGACATGAAACCAACGCAATTGCTGAAGAAAATGAAGGAAATGGCTGGCAGTTTAATGGGTGATGACGTACTGAAGTCATTGTGGTTACAGCGACTGCCAGTGGGAGTTAGAACAATGGTAGCTGCAGTCGAAGGTGATTCTGCACAGTGGGCAAAGGTGGCTGATAAGGTATTTGAGGTACAGGAAACAGAAACGGTTTGTGTAGTGCAAAGGAATGAACCGAATGAAATGAAGAAAGAAATTGACGAGTTAAAAGCCATGGTAAACAATTTGATCATTCAGTTGGGCAAAAGAGGAAGAAGCAATGACAGAGATCGTGGAAAAGGGCGATCATCAAGTGCTAAAAGAGATAATATATGTTTTTATCATCGGCGGTTCAAGGAGAGGTCCACAAAATGTGTTCAGCCGTGCCAGTACAAACCGCCACAAAACTCAGCGGGAAACTAAACACCACTTCACGTCTGACGGCGAGTGAAGTGGCAAAGGGTAAAGCATGCCGTCTGTTTTTCAAGGATCAAAAAAAACAGGTATAAATTATCTAATAGACACGGGCGCAGAAGTTTCAATTTTGCCAAAGAAAATGCAGCCTGAAAATAAAGCCACGCAATATTATTTATAAGCAGCAAACGGGGCGAAAATTAGCACGTATGGAACGAAATTAGTGCAAGTCAATTTGGGGTTGCGCAGACAGTTCCTGTGGGAGTTCCTGGTGGCGAAGGTAAATCACCCAATAATAGAGGCAGATTTTTTGAATAATTTTGGTTTGGTAGTTGATCTGAAGAACAGCAGAATTTGTGATGGCATTACAGGCCTCCAGGTAATGGGTGAAACTAAGCACTATTGATGCGACTAGCCCGGCACATAACATCCTGCGTGATTATAAAGAGATAACGGAACCGGCTACTAGTAATAAGGCGGCCGCGAGGGTTACGCTAGTAGAGCATCAAATTGTTACCAAGGGACAGCCAGTGTATGCAAAACCTCAGCGGTTAAACTCTGAAATATTTGAAATTGCGAGAAAGGAATTTGAATTTATGACGAAACAAGGTATTTGTAGGCCAAGTAACAGCAATTGGGCAAGTCCGTTGCATTTAGCGGCGAAAAAGGATGGTAAGTGGAGACCGTGTGGCGATTATAGGAAGCTTAATTCGATAACACTGCCAGATCGGTATCCAATACTCCATATACATGATTTTACTCGCATATTGCACAATAAGAAAATTTTCTCAACTATTGACTTGGAAAAAGTCTACAATCAAATTCCGATTGCTGAAGAGGATCGACCTAAAACGGCGATAGTAACCCCGTTCGGCTTATATGAGTTTAATATGATGACTTTTGGTCTATGCAATGCTGCGCAGACTTTCCAAAGGTTTATGAATGATGTTCTGAAGAATCTGAATTATGTAGTAACGTACATAGATGATATATGTATAGCATCAGCTTATGAAAAGGAGCACGAAATACATTTAAGAGAAGTGTTCAAGCGATTAAGCGACCATAGTCTGAAGATCAATCTGGGAAAGTGTGTGTTTTTTATGAAAGAAGTTACCTTTCTGGGACATGTGATAAATGGGGATGGAATTAAACCCATAGCTGAGAAGGCAGAAGCGATAAGAAATTTTAAAAAACCGAAGGAAGCACGAGAGTTAAGAAGGTTCATCGCTTCAATTAATTTTTACAGGCGTTTCCTCCCGAATGCAGCGAAGAATCATGGCATCCTGCACGCGCTAGTAAAAGCAAATAAGAAAAATGATAGATCTCCGATTGAGTGGACAGCAGAGGCCGAGAAAATATTTGAAGTGTGTAAGAACAATCTGGCGAATGTTGCAATGCTAGCACACCCGGCTCCGAATGCGAAACTGGTGCTAAATGTGGACGCTAGCAATGTCGCAGTAGGAGCAGTGCAGCTTATAGATGGGCAGTTACAACCGCTGGGATTCTATTCCAAAAGGCTAACAGAGACTCAAAAGAAATATAGTACTTATGACCGCGAGCTACTTGCTATATATATGGCGGTCAAGTATTTCAGGTACATGATTGAGGGCAGGAATTGCACAGTGCTAACGGATCTCAAACCGATTACATTTGCTTTCTTACAAAGATCTGAAAATGCATCTGAACGCCAGCTACGCCATTTAGATTTCATCGGGCAACTGACAACAGATATTTAGCATATAGCAGACAGCAAAAATACGGTCGCAGATACTTTATCTCGAGTCGAAAGTGTGATGGCTCAACGCTCCTAATCAACGTTTTGAGCATGAACATATTGAAATCGTGGGACCTTTACCCTATTGCAATGGTATGCGGTATTGCCTGACATGTATCGACCGGTTTTCAAGGTGGCCGGTGGTGGTACCGTTGACAGAGATTACGGCAGAATATGTGGCCGAGGCTTTAATTAAGGATTGGATAGCGCATTAAGGTGTGCCGAAAAAGATTACGACAGACCAGGGACGACAGTTTGAGTCCAAGCTTTTCGATGAGTTAGCCAAAGTATTGGGGTGTGAAAGGCACCGAACTACAGCATATCATCCACAGTCAAATGGACTTGTCGAACGTTTTCATCGCACGCTAATGTCTGCACTGAAATGTAAATCAAGTGTTGAATGGACGAGGGCCTTGCCGATTGGATTAAGAGCGGCATTTAAAGAAGATTTTCAAGCGACACCATCGGAATTAATTTATGGGGTAAATATACGTTTACCAGGAGAGATGTTTGGTGGTGAGTTGAAGCAAGTATCGCAAACAGAGTTTGTTATGGAGTTAAGGAAAACTATGAACGAACTGAAGCTATTGCAAGCATCGCGTCATATGACGGAAAAGCCATTCGTGTTTAAAGGTTTGAAAAGCAGTACACACGTATTCTTACGTGATGACGCCGTGCGACCACCACTGAAACAGCTGTATGAGGGCCCGTGTGAAATTTTATGTCGTGGTGAGAAAACTCTAACAATAAGGGCAAGAGGGCGCACGGTGAATGTCAGCATAGATCGAGTGAAACCGGTATATTTTGCGAATGAAGCTGGTGAAGGTTGTTGCAAGATAATGTCAAGGTGTTAGGTGGTAACAGTAACAAGCAGATAGCATCACAGGTGACTCGAGTGGGTAGAGCGGTGCGTTTTCCATACAGCAGCTAAGCATACAGCAGCTATCGTACGGATTGGGATGCTGTACAATGCTCTCAGGCAACTTCAAACACTACCAGAATCACCAGACCGTAGTCCTATAGAACATCTGTGGGTTTATTTGGAAAATAAGATTCACCAGCATATGCTTTCCAGCAAGGATATAGTAAGAAACATCATCAAGGAAGAATGGCTAGAAATAAACGCACAGGATACTGCAAAGCTAGTTGAGTCCATGCAAAGACGCTTAACAGAGGTTATTAAATGCAGGGGTTATCCTACAGGCTATTAAATTTAAGATTTTTGTGAATTTTATTGTTTTAATGTAAATATTAAGAAATATCCGTAGACTTTTTCTGCTTCAAAAATTGCTACTTTCGCATATAATTGTGTTTAATTTTTTTTTAAAGAATAACTGTTTAGTTTCAATATTGCAGCTTTATTGTTGTTTCTTTGGTTAAAATAAATCAGGAAATAAAAATGAATTTGAGTAAAAATTAAAAAAGTTATGCGTAATTTTAGTAAAATTATGTGAATATCCGTAGACTTTTTCTACTATGTGTATATACCATATGACTGCATCATATTGTTTATGCATAAAATAACACTTAATCACTTAATTAAAGTATCGATCTTTGGTAAATTTGAAAAAATAAATATATTACATCTTTTTCAATCTTTTTTTGTTATATAATAATTATGGTAGGTTAATGGATGCAAAACATTTATACATTTCTCCATTCTTTTAAATTTAATTTAATTTTCAATGTATGAGTAACGTTTCTTTACTTTGGAACAATTGCAATTTTATTTATAAAGAGCTTGGCTCCAATCTGATCAGATAAGTTTTAAAAAAAATTTATAATTCATTATTTTGATTATTATTTCTTTTTTTTTTTGATATTTTGTTATTCTATATTAAAAATAGTTGACTTCAGAGTCAACGCATCGGTGAAAATGAATTTTATTGAATGAGTTTTTTGAAATATTTGTTATACCATCGGTCGGAATTGCTCTTATTATGTTAAGCGGGTATTACACATCACTCTTAGCGCGACGACTTGGTGCGTCGGCGGTTGCTATTACACATTATTCACTGTCGACATTATTTTGAACACTCCTCAGCAAAGAATCGTACAAATATACTACAAAATTAAATTAAACAGAATTAAATTTGCATGGAAGCCGACAAAAATCCGATTGTCTACGAGGAAAACGAGCAAGTCTGACTAAAATTTAAAATATTTTGATTTCCATCGCATCATTTGTCATACCTGCAAATATTGCTATTACGCACGAGACTTGGCACATATTTCGCATTTGAAATCATTGGGAGACATCTATTACCCATCTTTACTAACTGCTGTTATATTCTAGTATTGTCCTTGTTCAACTACTTGGTCTGAGAAAATTTGACAACTGTACTTTCATTATCTCTGTCAGGTTAGTAAAAAACAGATTTCCTATACATAGAGATCACTTCATCTGTAAACTCAGATATAGACATAGAAAATGATTAATGAATCCTAGCATTTCCTGCCAATTCAGTTCTCCTATGTTGAGTTCTATGCTTCTAAACAGTTTAAACACAAGGTTTTGTATGTATATTTTACTACCTCTTCTAGCCAATTCATCTGTTGCCCTGTTCCTCTCAATATCTCTTAAAAGGTCTTATTTTCTTAAGACCTTTTAATTTTCAATGTTCATCAGTGAGGTACAACATTCAATTAAAATACTCGATATCGTCTTCTTGGATTCGATTGTCTTATGATATTCGAAGAACGAATTGCAAAAGCCTGTATCTCTGTCTAAACGACGCTACAAGTATCAAGGAGTCAGTATGATTGTCGTGCTGCATATGTCTCAATTAGATATCTGCTTCCCTTCCACTCTCCAGTTTGGAGCGATCTGTGTAGATGGTAACTCCAGAGAAAACTCTCATAGGTTCCAATTCATAGTTGTTTTCTCTGGTAGAGTTAGGAACACTCGTTTCGACTAAACTACTCCCCTTTTGATTTTATTCCAAAATTGTATAGTATCGGTAAGTTGATTTTTACCGTTTTATAAAAAAAAAGAATAAAAAGTAAGAGGACTGTTGGAATGAATGTTGATGATTGAAGTCGAATTTTTTAAAAAAAATTTATTTGGTTTATTATTTTTTTTTGTAATTAAATTAGATGCTTATTGAGTGATATGCTACTTTATTAAATATAATATAAAAAATAACAAAGCTTTTTAATATAATTTTCATTAAGAATTTATGATCTTTATTTTAAATTTTTAATACAAATATAGTATTTTTGCGCTATATATTTA